TCAACTCAAACTTGCAACATAGCAACTAGCCATCTCCAGCATCACTGATTCCTTCCCCACCCCCAGAAGTAGGAAGTAAAGTGGGGAGAGACTCTTTTGTAAGAAAAACCTGGCTAGACCTCAATAGAGCAACGATGGTAAGGAGGCTGGTGCCTGAGGTGGGATGAGCAGGCACCAAAACAGGCATATACAGAATCAATTAAGGCAGCCCCACCTCCTTGGATGGGACATGCTATGCTCCCTTGAGACCCTCGCTTCCATTGGGTTAGGTAAGGGTAAATGGTGATGATTCATTACTCCTGTTCCTAAAATGAAACATGATAAACCCAGAGTTTTACCTTCAAAATCCACCATACTTCCTCCTAAGAATATTCTATAATGTCCAGGCTTCTTGCCCCCTCCCTACCCTCAGAGACCCATCCAACACTGATTTGATACTCGACTCATAAAATGACTTTTTTTTTTTTAAAATTGAAAGTCATCAGAGTAATAAAGGAGGACACTTTGTGGACACACCCCTCCCCCAACCCAGAGTCCACCCATTCCCACCCCCCTCCCAGGGAACCTACACTACAACAATCCAGCATTGGCCTGGGGTGGCCAATGGAAGCTGCCTTAGTGCTTTCCTATGATTCCTACACCAGCCAATATCACAGGGACCTGGAGTGAGGAAGAACAGGACACATCACCCCCAAATAGATTGCAATGGCGAGAGGTAGTCGGAGGTTAGCTTATGTCCTGTAGTCAAGCCCGAGTCTGTGCAGGTTCCATCAGTACCTCAGACCATGACTTTAAATAGCAGCAGCCCCAGTATGCAACACCTCCTGGGGGTGACAGAGCTCCTAGCTCCCTTTTCCAACTCAAAATAGGTTTGCCTTTTCTTATCCCCTACCATCTTTTTTTTTTTTTTTAAATTAAAAGCAGAGGTAGTCCTTGGGATGATAAATGCTACCTAGAATGGCAGTATTTTGACTTAATGAAGCAGTAAAGTAAAAAATCTCCAGGAGTTAAAAAAATAAAATAATTGATGAAGTTGAATAAATTAAAGTTATAGGTTATTCCACGAAGATGATTCCTTCCAGGCTGTCTTTGGTATTTGGCCAGCAGCATTTCTCTGTTGCTTCTTTCCCCTCCAGCCTTCTCTAGGCCCTCAATAAGGCCCCAGCTGTTCTATCCAACTGACTCCTAACAGCTTGACATGGAACTTGGAACTGGGCTGTGGCACAGACTTGGCAGACAGTCCTACTGGGAAAGGAGAATGCCATCCAGGATATAAGAGGTGCAGCCAGTAGGATGCCCTGAGCTCCAACCCGGTAGTGTGGGAGGTAGGTTTAAGGCATGGAAGCCCAGGGCCTTCTCTCCAAATGTCACACAGTTGGCTTCTTTGCTCAAATTTTTCTGCAGCAAAGAGGGGTAAGAGGGACCTTCAGGCTGCTGTCTGGCACCACTGCGATCAGAGCTTCTTCAGACGACTATACATCTCCCTTTTGCTCTTTTCTCCTGCCCAGGTCCGGCTTTTGGTGCGGAATTTCTTTAGGTCTTCTTTAAAGTCCTCATGGTGCATGGGTCGGTAGCTGGGGGGCTCACAGTGAGACTAAAGGAACAGGAAAAGATAAGGTTAGGGCACATCTGCCTCACACTCAAAATCTGACTCCCTCCTGCCCAGGGCTGCAAGGCCAGGAGCAGCAATGCATACATGCACCATGGGTTCTATAGGGACCTTCTTTGTGCAAAACAAATACCCATCTTGTCCATAGACTAGTACCAAGAAAGAGCTATGATCACCAGATAGATCCAGTGGTCCAGCATGGAGATGGAAACATGCTCTCCAGAGACCCCTGTCTCACCTGGCATTTCAGGAAGAATTCCTTGTATCCCCCCTTGAGGACATACAGTTCAGGGTAATGGAGTTTGGGGTATTCGTTACCAAGTCGATCTCTTTCTCTCACATATCGGCACCTAGTAAAGGGGAAGGAAGACCAAAGCAAGTTTATCTCTTCCAATAGAGAGAACAAAGATAATGCAGAGGTAGTGGTTTAAGTATTCCTTACACCTTTTTTCCCCAACTTAGAAACAAATCAGTGTTAATAAAAGGTGCCTTCTTCAGCTTTACTTTCTGAGATACAGTCCTAGTACCTGCTCCTTGCTAGCCTCTCCACTCATTACTGCAACAAAGCTCTGAACCAGATTGCCTTGCCCTGCATTCTCCACCAATATCCCTCAATCACCTACTTCTATCTAAGTGGGATTCTTCCTTAACTGCTGAAGGTAATGCTTGTACTCTATGACTGGAATGAATACTGAATACTCTCCCCCCACTATCCTCATCTGTTTGTGGCCTCATAGCCAAACACTGGCATAAAAGCTGAAGTCCTTCCACACAAGGGCATGGGGTTGATCCCTAGCACTCAAAAAAAAAAAAAGTAGGGCAAAGTCCTTCTCCTTAGGGGATAGGTGCTTGAAGGACTTAAAAGAGATGCTCATGTGTATAAAGGTCCTGTTGTAGCTGTGTATATAGTATGTGCATGCAAATGTGACAAGTGATAAAATCAGGAAGTGTATGGAGAAGAGGCTATTTCTTCTTCTGCAAGGTGGCATGAGACTATGGCCCTGCCTTTGGGGCCATCCCAAATGAACTGATCCACCTCACTCTCATTCTAACCACCTGTCCCTATTTTCTTTTCTTTTCTTTCTTTCTTTTTTTTTTTTTTTTAAATATTGCCTCAGTGGTGACTGCCATGTTCCAGGTTCATACACACTTATGGTACTTATGTATTTATGGTACTATCATTTGAACACAGGACCTAGCTTGCATGCTAGGCAAGCACTCTCACTGAGCTATACATGAGCCCCTGTCGAGCACTTTTTTTTTTTTGTTAGAGACTGGGCTTTGTGCTTGCAAAGAAGGTGCTTTTTACTGCTTGAGCTCTTGTTATTTTGGAGATGGAGGGTCTCGAGAACTATTTGCACAGGCTGGCCTTAAACTGTAGTCCTCCTGATCTCAGCTCAGCCTCCCAAGAACAGGGGTGAGCCACCAGTGCCTGACCAAGCATCTTTCCCCTGCTTGGAGACAGGGTCTTGCTATGTAGCTTAGTCTGGCTTCAAATTGTGATCCTCCTGCCTCTGCCTTCCAAGCACTGGGATTATAGGCATGTACCACCATGCCTGGCACCTACCAAGTATTTTAAAAGCATCATTATCACATCACATCAAGTTTTGTGGAGTGAGAACTTAACACTTTTCTGGCACTTGCATAATTTATAGAACAACACATGGTACCTGAAGGATGTCACTTCAGACCAGCCAGAGTTCAACTCCTATAAAGTAAGCCAGTCAGGAGCAAAAGCCAGAGCCATGGGCGATACTGCATGGGCAACATTGGCATCGATGAATGACAGGGCCTACTGGAGAAGCCTGAAAATCCTTTGCAACTCTAACTTTTAGGTCAAACCTACAAACTACAGTCCAGGAGGCAGTTTACAATATCAATCAGCTGCTTAAATGGGTAAGAATTTGGAGAAATAACTTAGGCATGAAATCATAATTTTACAAAATCACAGATTTACAAATTGCATGGAAATGACCTTTGATGTACAAGATGTTACACATAACATGTTCACATCATCATGTTCCACAAAAGCTTCATGGGCTTCTGCCCTAGAGCTTTGTTCTATGCAGCACTCACATGCGGGGGCCTCTCTCAGAAGAAAACTCGCAGTGAAACACAACAATGACACGCTTGTCATCAGTGGATACAATGGGCTTCTTCAGTAAGAACTCTTCAACCTCTTCTTCCATGTGTAAGTTCACTGCACCCTGTGAAAGCACCAGATAACCTTAGCACCTACAAATGTCATAGTTGAAGTAATGATCTTTGAGCTTAAAGAGTGATCTTTGCCAGGTGCTGATGGCTCACGCCTATAATCCTAGCTACTCTGGAGGCAGAGACCAGGAGGATTACAGTTCTAGCTGGGGCAAATAGTTTGCAAGACCCTATCTCTGAAAAAACCCAACACAAAAAAGGGCTGGTGGAGTGGCTCAAGTGATAAAGTACCTGCCTGGCAAGCAAGAGGCCTGAGTTCAAACTCTAGTACTGCAAAAAGTGATCTTTTAAGACCATAAGACCAGTGTGTGATTTTGCAGGTTCCTGGCACAACAGTTCAGTAGACCACCTGGCCCTGTATCTCAGTGGGGCTTCCTAGAACTACATAATTGACTGTGCAGTAACACATATGGGGATTGGAACTGGGCACCTCAAATTCTGCTTTATGAGTAGTATTTGTCAATGTGGGGTTTTTCAAAAGCACAAGATAGTGGCAAACACTAACATCCTCTTATTGTATTTAAACAATTTATTGGTAAAAGATTAATGTGGCACCAACAGTTCCTGTACTCCAAGAAAAACATTCCCTTCATCATACAGCTTGACTGCACTATAAATTAAGGAGGCCTGGTACAGATATTGGGGCCTACTGCAAGATTGGCTTCTCCTAGCTAGGAGCCCTGGGGCATTCGAACACTTATATCTAAGCCTCTTAAAAACCAGAGGGCCAGCCAGGGACCAGTGGCTCATGCCTGAAATCCTAGCTACTCAGGAGGCAGAGATCAAAAGGACCACAGTTCAAAGCCAGCCTGGGTAAATAATTCCCAAGACCCTATCTTGAAAAAACCCAACACAGAAAAGGGCTGGTGGAGTGGCTCAAGATGTAGGCCCAATACCAGGGGGAAAAAAAAAAAAGAAAGAAAGCACCAAGGAACTTTCTCTGGTTTCCTGAACAGCTTAAACATCAGGGGGTACCAACTAGAAATGTTCATAATGGTGAGTGTGTGAAAGACAAAACCATCCAAAATGGTATATTAGAGCAGACCAGGGAACATTCATTCAGTGAATCAGAAGTCAAGTGCTTTTCACACCCACTGTCTTGTTTTAAATTTTTACTGGGGATTGAATTCAGGGCTTTGCAAGCACTCTACCTTGAGCCATGCCCTCAGCCTCTTTGTATATTGTTTGAGATAAGTTTCCCTAACTTTGCCTAGCCGGGTAGCTTCAAATTTAAGCTCCTCCTGTCTCCACCTCTTGAACATCTGGTTACAGGCTCGCATCCCTACCTGCCCCCTTTAAAATCACAGATCTTCTATGCCCTGCAAGGGAGAAAGTCTCAAGAACCCATACCTTGGGGCTGGTGGAGTGGCTCAAGTGGTAGAGTACCTCCCTAGTAATGTATGAGGTCCTGAGTTCAAGCCCCAGTACTGCCAAAAAAATAAAGTTGCTGACACTACGACAAAAATAGTGGGGAAATTATATATGTAATAAAAAAAAAATGTAAAGAATAAAATTAAAAAAAAAAAAAAAAAAGAACCCATACCTTGATGTGGCCTCCTTCATATTCATATGGGTATCGGCAGTCAATGATAACAAACTCTTTAATGAGATGGGCAAACTTCCCATTCAAAACAGATGCTATCTGTACAGGGAGAACAAAAGAAAATCAACATTTGCTGATAGGAATAACTATATTCAAAACCCCATGTATAGTAAATTATATAGAGGAATGACTTACAATTTCTGGAGAAACGTATTTTAAATCCTGATGCTTCCCAGCAACTGTATGAAAGAGATAGCCCTTTGAAAAGGGAAAAATAAAGGAAGAAATAATTAATAAAAAATGATACTTAGGGAATCTATAACATTTATACTGTTTGCCTGCCTGGTAGGAAGCAGCTAAAACAAACAAACAGAACTGGTGTAGTGGTTCAAATGGTAGACAGCATCTGCCTAGTGATTGAGGCCCTGAGTTCAAATCCCAGTACTGCCCCCAAAAAAACCAAATCAAAACAAACAAAAAACCCAAACATTAATTGAATAGTTAGTATATGCTCACTTCTAGGCACTTCACTAACATCCCAGCATGTACTTTTCACAGAAACCAATACGGTGTATTAGCCCCTCTTTCAGATGTTATCCAAGAACCTTATCTAAGTGTACCCAACTAGTAGGCCAGATTTGGTGATTGTTTATTTTGGAGACGGAGTCTCTCAAACCGTTTGCATGTGCTGGTCTCAAACCACAACCTTCTTGCTCTCAATCTCCCAAATAGCTACGATTACAAGGCATAAGCCCTGGCACTCAGCTGCCATGCTGGTCTTGAACTTGTGATCCTCCTGAGTAGGCCAGATTTGAACAAAGACATCAGTAATTTCCGTTTCCTCTTACTTTTATCAGGAAACCTCAACTCAGTAGCAAGGCTGTGAATAGCACTTAAAAACAGAGAGCCAAGAGTGGTGGTTCATGCTTATAATACCAGCATTCAAGAGGCTGGGGCAAGAGCCAAAGGCTAGTTTGGGCTACAAGGGGACACATTTCACTCATCTGCTGAGCACTTGCTATGCTCACCTTGGTGTTAGGCACTGGACGTGAAAACAAAACAAAACAAAACAAAACACCAAACTTAGTCCAGTCTTGAGGAGGAAGAGGACATAGCAGCATTACTCACAGGTCAAACATAACCAACAGTCATATTAAGCCTTCAAGCTGAAGGTTTCACAAGTAAAGACATATCTGGGTCTTTCTTTGCTTATTCTTCCCTTCAAATTCCCTGCTGCTTAAAACCCACCTGGCCAAAATACCAACAACAGCCCAGCCCCAAACCTTCCACAATTTCCTAGTTTTGACAAACTACTACTTATTTCTTACCACCTGTTGCTTTCACCTCACTAACATTTAATCTGCCATGTGGTACATGTCTTATCTCTCTAACCACATGCTAAATTCTTTTAGAAGCAACTAAGAATCTTTGTCTACTACAGAAGTACTTCAACTTTTTCCTTTAAAGGCCATGCTTCCTTGAAAAATGGAGCAATTCAGTCTCAAATCTGGACCTGTAAGATAATCTTTCACTTTCTTGTAGTGAGGCTGTATATTTATTTCTGCTTCTTATACTACTTTTATAATCAGAAACCCAGATCCAAGAGAGCCTGGTCTTTGGGGCTGGAGCCAAAGGTTGGTGGGCAGCTCCCTACTTGAAACTGCTTATCAGCATTAACAAGATCTATAGTCTGAGCCCAAAAAGTAACTAATTGTGAAAAAACATGTTTGCTTCCCCGTCTTTAAAATTTTTAAGCTGTTCCCTTGGAAGTACCCCAGGAGGCACATTGAGAAGGGAGTAAGGATGAGGGGAGTTCTAGGATTTTAGGTATCCACACCCACATGTATCACTTAACTAGGGTATCTCTGCTTGCAATACCTTAGAGAAATCTCCTATGAGGTCCCTTGGGTCATTGTCCAAGATGTTCTCAATGATCCCTTTTGGGGAAGATGCTGGGGATAAAGACTGGTGTAGTATCTGTAACAAATCAAAAGTAGAAAATAAGGTCTGACTAGAACTTCTGAAAACATTCACCTGGAATATATCAGAAGGAGGGAACTGAAATGTTAATGCCTGTATTTAGCAAGTTAAGATTTCTTATTTGCTTGAATCAGAAGTAAAGAAACAAATCTGGGTTATTGAATGTGGATCCTATTATTATTCTGGTATCTGATTAAATTGCTCTGAAACTGTTTCCTTTTCCTTTTCATTTTTTATAAGGGACTAAAAAGAAGGTAACCCTTTTAAAAATTCACTATGAACATATTAACTGATAAATTTCAACACATTTAAAAATCAAGAAATTCATCATAGTGTTAAAAGGAATAATAAGATTCGTATATGAAAAGTTCTCCCATAAATGAGATAACCAAAAAGAAAAATATAGTTGGGAATATAGTTTAATGCCTACCATGAGCAAGACCATGGCTTTGATCCCAAGCACCACAAAAGAAAACTATTACCCCCGTCCCAAAAAAATAAAAGATATCATATACTCATAATAGTGATAAAAATTAATGGGATAAACAATATCAAATATCAGTAAGGAGCCAAGTGTGGTGGGTTAATGTCTGTAAGTTGGAAGCAGGTTAGTCTGGGCTACATAGTGAAATCCTATCTCAAAAACAAAAAACCACACACACACACACATACACACACACACACAAAACCCCACAAAACAAACTGTGAAGAATAGACACTCATACACTGCTGTGTACAACTATTTTGGAAAACTATATAGCAATCTTTGCAAAAGCTAACCATATACTTAGCTTACCACTCAATAATTCTACTCCCATGAAAAATCAAAGTATAAGCCAGAAAAAAATTATACAAGAATATTTATAGTTAACTATTAATGGACCTGTAAATAACCACTTAGTGTCAATCTGAAGTTTTTTCATAAAAAATTACATAGCTAGACTGAAGATCTGGCTCAAGCAATAAGAGTACCTGCCTTGCAATTGTGAAGCCCTGAGTTCAAACCCCAGTCCTGTCTTCTGCCCTCTCCACCAAAAACAAAAGAAAAACAAGAAAAATACAGCGAAAAAAAAAAGGACATAGTTAACCTGAAAAGGCAGCCAGGTATCAAAAAAGATAATTTAATTTGGACATTAAAAAGGACAATATGGCCAGATGCCTGTAAGAGGGAGAAAACTGGCCCCAAGCAAAAATAACCCTATCCAAAAATAACTAAAATAGTCGTGCACTATCTGTAATCCTAACTACTCAGGAGCCAGAGATCAGGAGGATTGAGGTTTGAGGCCATTCCAGGCAAATAGATTGCAAGACCCTATCTTAAAAATACGCAACATACAACTATGATGTATTATAAGAACTTTTGCAAATGTCACAATGTATCCCCAGTACAACAATTAAAAAAAAGAAAAAAGAAAATTTGAAATGATCAACAAAAATCTTTTAAAACTAGTAAGTGTTATAGCATGACAGCAGTGTTTGATGATACTACTGCCAGAAATAAACACAGAATTAAAACAAAAACAGTCAGGCTCAGCAAAGTCAAAGAGCCACAGAATGGAAATTTTAGAACTGAAAGACAGTTATCACTTTCCCAAAACAAAAGGGAACCTGCAAAACTAACCTCCTGGGTCTTCTCTTGATTAGCTGCCTCTCCAGGACTAGTCCCAACCATGCTCTTCCTCCGCTTTATATTTCCGCGTGGAGATTCCTCTTGAGATCGTTCTGCTCTCTTCAACACTGACCGAGTGCTTGAGCTACATGGAGAGGGGGAGTCAAACAGCCTACATCCATTGCCCTTCGGGAAAAAGATAGAGTCATTTTTTATTAAAATATGCTCATTTGAATGGTAATTAAGACAGAGGGCTTCCTGGGATAGTTAAAGATCAATCCTAAATTAAGAAATAGACATTGTAGAGTCACCTAGCTCATAAGGGAATGGCACAATGAACACTTGATGAATATGTATTCAGAAACTTTACAAAGAGATGAGAAAATTCCATACCCTCAAAAAGCTTACTGTCTACACAGGGTCCTAAGAGTCAGGAGAAATAGCTGTCACCTTCCAGACAGGAAGATACATTTTTGGCTTGCTTCCTTTCCATTTTATCAACTACACAATTTGCTTAAGCAGTTAAACAGGTTTTAATACCATACCTAAACCCAGAAAAAATGCTAGGTAGCCAGGTTTTACTTTAAAACAGAAGTACTAAGGTTACCTTGTCCTTAAGACAGTCTAAACCAGGTGTGGAAGCATACATCTGTAATCTTAGCACTGAGGAGGCTGAAGCAGGAGTATTGTGAGTTTGAGGCCAGCCTGGGCTATATAGTGAGACCCTGTCTCAAAAAAAAAAAAGACAGCTGGGCACTGGTGGCTCATGCCTGTAATCCTAGCTATTCAGGAGGCAGAAATCAGTAGGACTGTGGTTCTAAGCCAGACTGGGCAAATAGTTTCCTATCTCAAAAAACTTTTCACAGAAAAGGACTGGATTGGCTCAAGGTGTAGGCCTTGAGTTCAAACCCCAGTAACGAAAAAAAAAAAAAAAAAAAAAAAGGACTGGAGATATAGCTCAAGTGGTACAGCACCTGCCTAGCCAAGTGCAAGGCCCTGAGTTCAAATGCTAATACCACCAAAAGACAGTAAATTGGAAGTGTGCAGCATAGCAAGTGCAATCCAAAACTGTGTTCAGGGAGGAGGGGTGGCTCAAGAGGTAGGGTGTCTTCCTATCCCAGTATCACCAAAAAAAAAAAAAAAACCAAAAAAAAAAAAACAAGAAATTTTGTTCCAAGATCCTTTTCTTTACTCAAATCAGTCTTTAAGGAGTAACTTCCCACCGTCCAATGGCAGCCAGTCTGATGGATTGAAGAGGCTTTCTAAACTCATCTCAGCCTGTTCACAACTCAGCATGCCTTGGCCTGATTTTTCATTCTATAGTGTCCATTTATACCTTAGTAAACCACTCATTTTCAAACTGATGATAAAATTTCAATGGCTTCTCTTTGAAATGTTCCTCAGCTGAGTGTTTGCTCCCAGAACGAGGGATTCTTTATTTTTCTGAGGTGTATTTCCCAATGCAGCTCCCCGTAATGATGAGTCTACAGTGACCATTTGTGAAAGAAAAATCTCCCACTGTTAAGGGCCCACAAGACTCTGTTCATGATCTTTAAATCCAATTTATAAAACTGACAGCCACTTCCCAAATGTTCTCATGTATATAACTTTATGTCTTTCAAAATGACTTGGAAATGCTGGGGCTATAGCTCAGTGGCACAGTGTTTGCCTAACATGTGCAAGGCTGAGTTCAACCTCCCCCTAGCACTGCAAAAAAAAAAAAAAAAAAAAAAGACCTGGTAAATTTAGTAATAACACTTATTAGGTCAACTATTTTCTCAAAGCTATCCACATTAATCTACAATAACCCATAAGTGGCCTACAAATCACTGTAAATGATTTGACCTACATTTACAATTCAGGTCACTGATAGTTAATAACTATTAACTTATATGTATACTCACGAGTGCATAACCCGAAACTTATGTTATGATAATATCTAATATTCTTTAAATGTCTGTATAAATGAGAATGTGTACCTATATAGAAACCCTTCCTTCTAACTTTGTTTGAAAGTAGCCCTATGTTGGAAACATGAGTCTATAATGTATATACAGATGGGGTAGGTGCTTTCAACTAAGAATAAACATCACTGGTGTAGTGGAGCACGCCTCTAGCACTGGAGGGCCAACCTGGGCTACAAAATAAGACACTAAAAAACAAAAACAAAAACAAAAAACGGGTTGGGGGGGGCGCAGGGTGGTAGTGGCTAACAAGTACTATATATTTGGTATAAGAACCTTTGTAAATGCCACAGTGTACCCCCACCTAGCACAACAAACCAAAAAAAACCATAAATGTGCCAGTAAAACCCATGAATGAGGTGTTTTTTTTTTCCCTGTGGCACTGGGGTTTGAACTCAGGGCATGCTTGCTAGGCAGGTGCTTTTACTGCTTGAGCCACTCTATCAGCCCTTTTTTGTGATGGGTTTTTTCGAGATAGGGTCTGGCAAACTATTTTGCCCAGGCTGGCTTCGAACAGCAATCCTCCTGATCGCTGCCTCCTGAGTAGGCAGGATTACAGGCGAGAGCCACTGGCACCCAGCTCCCCAAGTCTTATCATTCCAGTTAGGCTTTTTTTTCAGTACTGGGGCTTGAACTCAGGGCCTTCTGCTTGCTAGGCAGGTGCTCTATCACTTGAGCCACTCCATCAGCTCTTCCAGTAAACCAGTGATTATACTTAGCTCAGGTTCAAGTACTCAAGGCTCCCTCCAGACACACCAGAATAACTTACAACATTTGTGGTTCTTCTCATGACAAGGGGTGCTGTCCAGAGGCTTGCCATGCATGATGGGGTCTCCTCATCATTCTAAAAAAGAGAAAAATAGCTTTTAAATAAATCCAGTACAGAACATTAGTCTAAATGTTCAACATGTAATTCTGTCTGAAGAATATTAGACAGGCCTGATAGGAAGGATTTTTTTTTTTTTGAGAGGTAGTACCAGAGTTTGAACTCAGGGCTTTGTCTTTGCTAGGCAGGGGCTCTACCACTTGAGTCACACCCCCAGTCCAGAAAGTGCCCCCTCACCCATTCCCCAAATCCTTGCTAGCTCCTTCTAGATAAAAAGGATCATACTATCTAATTTTGAAACACTTCTACCCCAACAAGGATTTAATCAGGCTAAGAGCAGTATCAATAAATTCTCACCAAATGAATAAAAGCATCAGCCAGCTCAAGCCCTGGCTTGAACTGGGGAACTGGTTTTTTTTACTTGACTTCTCTAGAGGTGGGTAGGAAGATGAACACACACACACACACACACACACAATACCTTCAGATTCTCTCCATCGAGAAGGTCCATGAAGCCATCATCCTCATCAGACAAAGTGGCTGTCACAGGTGACTGGGGCATATAAAGAGGAACAAAATTCCCTGGTTCACTGGTATCTCTTTCATTTGAGGAAAGCTAAAAGGAAGAAAGGAAGAATTCAGGGCTTTTAAGTAAATGAGAGCTCTAGTCCAATATGAAGTAAAACTTTAGCACCTACTGATCAAAGAAAAATGGTTTGTTGTCCTGGCAGAGTGACTCAAGAGGTAAAGGGCCTGTCTAGCAAGCCTAGCCAGGGTGAGACCCTCCCTCTGAATAAAACCCCAATCTCACCAAAGTCAGCTGATTATTTCCCCAGAATTGATAAATCAACTATTTCTTACACAAGTCCCATTAACATATCACCATCTGTTCTCCAGACAGTGGGTTAAAGAGGGTGCTTTTTAATTCTCTTCCTAATAGGAATCTCTCATTAAACTCAGAGCACATACCATCCGAGCTGGGGCTGAGTTCTGCCTCTGTGTAAAGAGATCTTTACTCTCCTCAAGTCCATGAGAGTGCAAGCAGCCACGAGATGCAGGTCTTACTGGCTTCTTAAACTCAAAGGCCTCCTAAAGACAATATATGTGAGATATTCTCTACTGTTCATGAAAATTAGCTCTAGACCTCAGCTATAACTTGAGAAGAAAGGCAAGGGAGTGGGCACGAATCACCTCTAACTCTCTCAATTAAGAGTATACCTATTTCGGATCTAATTCCAACACTGGATCTGTGTAACTAAGAATTTCTACGACATTGTCAACGGCTAACTTCTAAAGTAACATCTAGGACTGGAGAGTGTAGCTCAGTGGTAGAGCACTTGCCTAGCCTGCACAAGATCCTGGGTTCAGGCTGACAGAGTGGCTCAAGCAGTAAAAGCACCTGCCTAGTAAGCGTTAGGTCCTGAGTTCAAACCCCAGTGCTGCAAGAAAAATAAAACAAAATAAAAATCCTGGGTTCAATCCCTAGTACTGAAAACATAGTAAAAACTAAGCACCATCTTTTTCTCAGCATCCCTTATTTCCTCAGAATACAGTATTTGACAAATATACAACACATTATGAATGACAGGCTAAATCATCTGTTTTCTAAAATTTAAAGCAATGCCATTATAAAAACCTCGTGACAAAGTTCTAGTGGCTAGAGGTACTGGCAGGAGCAGCTGAGTGGCAAGAGAAGCCATTACGGGAGCCAGAGCTGCTGATTAAGACCAATCAAGATGACAACCTCCCCAAAACACTGACACTTCATGGCAGAGCCCATGAAGGAAAAGCCAGTAGGAAGCCTGGCTAGGACTGGCAAAGTCCTGGGCAAGAAGACAGAGGAAAGGGGCTTTGACAAGGCCTATGTGATTCTTGGTCAGTTTCTGGTGCTAAAAAAAGATGAAGACCTCTTTCAGGAATGGCTGAAGAACAAGTGTGGCACCAACACCAAATAGTCCTGGGACTGCTTTGGGTGTCTTTGAGAGTGGTGATGCTCTTGTGATGCTTTCTAGGGAGGCTTCAGCCCCTCATGTTGAACCTCCAGAGTTTGCAGCTGAGTGAGGCTCGTTCCTGCCCTCTACAAAGAAAAGACTGCTGTTGTCACATTCACCTCCAATGTACTCCAGGGTCTTTTGGGAGTTCTCTCCCCACACCATTTCAACATTTTTGGAATTCTCACTCTTGTATGAATTGCCCTAACTCCTTCCCCTGCCAGTTCCATGGGACCATTACCAGCCTTTCTGAGTAGATTCCAAGGTCCTGTTCAACCGTTCCTCCCCCAGTCTATTTGATGCCATTTGTCTCTTTTAGTAGAGCAGTCATTGTCCTTGTAAATTTTTAGATCAATAAAGTCAGTGGCCTAAATAACAACAAAGAAAACAAAAACAAAAACTACAACCTTGTGATAGTTCACACTTTTCATATTTTCCACCTCTTCCTACCAATAGCAGACAAAAAAACAGAATAGAACAAAATCACCTATGGGTTTACTCAACATGAATCGTTCTCACAAACACAATGTTGAGTGAAAGCAGCCAGATGTGAACTGCCTGGCAGTGCTGAGTTCAAACCCCAGTATCAAAATAAAAAACAAAACCAAAAAATACACCAGCACTAGGTACTTTTTGAGCATTAGGTCATCTGACCATTGGCTACAACTTGAGGGTCTCCATTTGACCAAGGAAACTAGGCCTTTCTGGCTGAATGTTGTGCCCAACATATTGAAGCCAAACAGGAAACCTCTTCAGAGTGAGAGCTCCTTACTTATGCTGTTTTCCCTTTAGAACCTAGCTCCAGGAAGCAATCCTGGGAGAAGGCAGGTTTAGAATTAGTTCTGGCTTGTAGAAAACACTACAGAGAGGCTGATGCACTGCTCCAAGCATTCAAGGTGAGAATCCATTTCAACATTCTCCCTCATGACATCTGTCAAGTTGTCAAGCTTAATCACAAGTTGAGTTCATGGAGGCTGATAGTTTTACACTCAATCAGAGAATGACAAATGGGAAAAAAATAAACATAAAAATTGAGTCAGAGGTCTGAAGGTATCTCAACCAGTAAAGTGCCTACCTGGTAGCCTGAATTCAAACCCTAGTATTGCCCCCTACTCCCCCCTCACCAAAAAAAAGGTGAGAGAGGGCTGGAAAAGTTAAGCCAACTCATTCAAGCAGTTTTGGTTGCTTATGTCTGAGAGAAAGTCAGGCCAGACGAACGACCACCAGCCCATTCTCAAAACCACTATTTCAGCTACTGAGGTTCTCTAGACCTTGGTGTCCCAAATTTGCCAAATACTGCCAAGAAGTCTTTTCATGAGCTTACAACTCATCCCAGGGTCAGAACAAAGAAAGGTCTGTGCAGACTCTTCCAGATAAATCATTGACGAATATACTACTGTAGAGAGCTACAATCTAAGGAACATATACCCGTCAGGTACCATTTTAAATTCTACATACATATAATCTTTAATTCCCACAATAGCCCTAAATGATAGTCTACTCTTGTTTTATAAAAAAAGAAACAAAGAAGAGAAATAACTTGTCAATGTAACAAAGCAAGAAAGAAGCAAGATTCAAACTCAGGTTTCTTTGATTCCAAAGACCATGCATGATCTTGGTGAAAGATTAGTCCTTCAGAAAGCAGCCCCACATTTTTCTTGTAGGCTGCTGACACTGCAGGGTTCACCTTTGCTGAGTTAGTGCATAAATGCTACACTCACATTTTCCTTGTTTTCATCCTGGTCGATGAGCTGAAAGATGTCATGGTCAAGAGAATCAGAATGGCTCCTCTTCAGAGCTGGACTACATCCCAAGAGCTTCTGCTATCAAAGTGAAAAAAAAAAAAAAAAAAAAGAAATAGAGTACATTAAGAATAAAAAAACAAACCAACCAACCAACCAACAATGGAAAACTAAGTTCTTTTTGCTTGTTCTGAGACAGTCTCACTATGTCGCCTAGAATAGACTTGAACTAGAGACACTACCTCAGCCTCCCAACTGTTTACAGGATTACAGATGTAAGCCACTATATCCAGTGAAAACTCAGAGGAATGGCCAGGCCCCAGTGGCTAATGCCTGTAACCCTAGCTACTCAGGTGCAGAGATTAGGAGTGAAGACAGCCCAGGCAAAAGGTTCCTCATAACCCTATCTTGAAAATACTCAACATAAAACAGGGCTTAAGTGGTAGAGCACCTGCTTAGCAAGTGTGAAGCCCTGAGTTCAAATCCCAGCAACAGACACACACACAGACACAGACACACACACACACACACTAAAGCAATGAAATGGGGATAGAGGCAGTAGCTCCTCACACACTGTAGTGGATGGTCAGTAAAAGTGGCCAGGACTACACCTTCCTAAAACACGGGATAGAAGTTCCCACTACTCAGCTTTACATGTAATCTTATAAGGCCTACAAGAGCTATTATAGTGCCATACCAATCCCCAAGTAACACTGCATAAAAAGAATCCTCCCTGGTTTGAGAAAACTGATAGATGCTGGGCACTGGTGCATGATGACCGTAATCCTAACTACTTGAGAGGCTGTGATCAGGAAGACAGAGGTTCAAGGCCAGCCAGGGCAAACAGTTCATGAGACTCCCCCAGCTCCAAAATAACCAGAGCAAAATGGACTGGAGCTATGCCTCAAGCAGTAGAGCTCAAAACAAAAACAAACAAACAAAAACCCCCACAAAACTAACAGAGACAGGACAAAGTCCACAAAGTCCTCAAGAGCAAACACTGTAGAAGCTGCTCTAGGTAGTGTCTTAGTGCTTATGAGACTGCAGAAAAGCAATTTTTACTTTCTTAATTGAGGCCTCCAGGCTGGGGGTGTGGCTCAAGTGGTAGAGCGCCTGAATTGAGGCCTCCAATCAATCAAGCTGGCAGCTGGGGGGTACAGATAACAAAGCATTAGCTCAAAATAAAGAATGAAGTACTGAAAATGTGGCTCAAGTGGTAGAGTGCCTGCTTTTCGAGTACACAGCCCTGAACTCAAACCCCAGCTCCACTAAATTAATTAATTAATTAATTAATTAAAGAATGGAACTAACTTACAGGCAGGGAATTTATTCTCCTCATGGGTTTTTTGAGGCTGAAATGAGATCAGAAGGTAAATAATGAGAAAGCAAGTAAAGAGCTTTTTCCTAAATACAAAATCGAGAAGCAGTCAATACATACTTTTCTTTACTGTCCAATAGCCCAGGAGAATCCAGACAGAAACCTGTGGGAAATTAAAAAAAAGTCTCAGGAAATAATACACAAAATATTATTTTTGTTGTTAAATATATAACATTTTCAAAGTATATTCACTGGGTCTCTTCTACTTGCAAATACCATCAAAGGAAACAAGATTTGAGGAAAGACTGGGTTAAACTGATTATTTAGGTGACCCATAACTTTTTGTGAATTCCAACAACAAAAAGGATACCAGATTTTCCTGGAACAGCTTTGATTTTAAGTATTTTATCTTGTCAAATCATATCCTAATTTAAGATAGTAAAAAGTACAACCATTATTAACGTGGCATGCAAAATATTTGCAGCCGTTAGCAAAATCATACCAAGTAAGGTGCCCATCTCATCAAAGGCAGCAGAGTGGAGGTGACACTGCTCAGCAATATTTATATACCAGACTAGAATGGTCCAGCCCCACCAGCACCTAGCTCACACTTCTCCATGTTTATGCAGCCTTCAAGAAAGCTAGATATTAGAGATTCTACTGACATTCTTGCTTACCACATAGCCACAAATGAAGAGTTTTATCCCTAATCCTTTTACTTTGTTTTTTTGAGACAGGGTGCCACTGCAGCCCAGGCTGTCCTAAAAGTCACAATCCTCCTGCCTCAGCCTCCTGATTGCTAGGGTCACAGTACCCTGCACTGAGTAGTCTTAAGAATTGGTAATAGGCCAGGCACCAGAGGCTCACACCTATAATCCTAGTTACTCAGGAGGTCAAAATCAAGGGAGTATCAGTTGGTAGCCAGCCCAGGCAAACAGTTCTGGGGAATCCTGTCTTGAAAATACCCAACACAAAACAGGGCTGGTGGAGTGGCTCAAGTGGTAGAGCGCCTGCTTAGCAAGTGTGAGGACCTGAGTTAAAAACAACAACAAAAAAAAAACTGGGAATAGGCCAGGCATGGCAGCACATCTTTAATTCCAGCCCTTAAGAGGCTGACTTCTAAGTCAGCCTGGGCTACATAGCAAGGAATTATCTGGAAAAAAACAAAACAAAAAGCCTATACATACTACATTCTAAGACTTTTGCTCTGATCGTTTCCTAACCTAAAGGAAGTACTCATATCTGTGCAACCCTACAATAAGAGCAACTTAAGAAACAGAATGAGAATAAAAAAAAAAAAAAAAAAAAAGAAATAGAATGAAATGTGATCACTGAAATTTCCTTCTACTTATTTGACTACCACCCTTTTTATTGGTGGTACCTTACCACTAGAGCCACTCCACCAACTCCTTTTTTGTGTTGGGTACTTTTTTTTTTTTTTTGCAGTGCTGGGATTTGAACTCAGGGCCTATACCACAGCCCAATTTTTGTGGTGGGTTTTTTCGAAATAGGGTCTCCCAAACTATTTGCCCGAGCTGGCTTTGAACCACGATCCTACTGATCTCTTCTTCCTGAGTAGCCAGGATTATAGGCACGAGCCACTGGCACCTGGCTATCTGACCCTTATTTTAATTCAAATATTTTCTCTTTTCTTTGGTGGTACTGGGGTTTATACAAAGCATTTCATGCTTGCTAGGCTGGCTCTCTACCACTTGAGCCCAACTCACACATTTTCTGAACACAACTTATAGTGGTACAACTTATAGTAGAATTTTACTCTACTACTTTCCTTTACCAGCAAGGACAGGCCACCTCCTTGCAGACTCTTGACCCTTATTTTCTTCTCCTCATAAACTGCCACAGGGCTCTTTTTTACTGTTCTTAAGGGTGTTTGTCACCTAATGCTATGACTCCTGTGTCCTATCTTATTAACCAAAACCAAGTTCCTAGGTGAAAGGACATATTTCAGGAAACTCCCAGTACTGCTCTCCACACAGCAGACTGGAGATTCAAGGTGAAGACTGAAAGAATACCTGAGTCAGTTGATTCAGAGGAGCCCATTCTCTGCAGACTGCTGTTGTTTCTCACCTCCAGCGGTGGCTCATACTCACTGAAACCAAGAGAAATATTTCCACATGAGAGACTTCTAGGACATAATGAAAAGGTCACTTACAGGAGACAGACCATGAAGAAGCTAGGCCACACCATAGATCTCACCTTGACATCTACCCTACCCTAGGCCACAATGTAGGATATAATGATTATGGCAAATGTTGGGATGCTTTCTGAAATGAGAGCATATGTTCCAGGTACCATGCTAGAAGGGTGAAAAGTGAATTGGATAGGAGTCCCCCTTTTTTGGAGGCTGGGAAACACATTCAGACATGTGGTTAGAAAATGAGATGCCCAAGATTGAAAAGCAGCTTTTCTAGAAACACTGTGGATGCATCTTGCTCTAAGGAAAAGTTCAGGGAGCATTCCAGCATGGAAAGTTAAGTAAAATGATCTGGCTTCAGGGAAGCAGAGAGGAGGACATCAGAAGTGCAGGATAAGGGATTACAGACTTTGCACAAATGCAGGGAGGAAAATGCCATGTCCCTTTGTCAAGGAGGAACAAAGCTCACAGGAAACCAAGATGGTTCAGCAAAGGATGGGGGCAGATTCCAAAGAGCTTCCCGGAATAGGGACGAGGACTACAGAGCAATCTGAAGGGTGTGACGAAGATGGACAGCCCAGGGCCTCTCTACTGGGTCTGGCCCAGGTTGAGGGCAGTCCTGGAGGGTCCGAACCGCCTCTCCCGCCCAACATTCCGCCCCGGGGATAGGTGCACATGGCGGCCCCGGCCCGGCCGCCTCGGAACCGAGCATCCGGCCCAACGGGGCTAACCCTGCTCGCGGCCCGATCTCCCCGAGGCCGATAGGAAGGCCAGCAGCCTGGGGCACAGCTGCTGATCCCCCCCTTACCTGCCCAGCCCCTGCAGCTGGTCCATGGTGACGGTCAGGTTAGTGACAGGGGACAATCCCCCAGCAGCTGGCGCGCCAAACAGAGCCTTCACTGTGGGCTGCGGCGTGGGAGGGGAGCTGCAGGCAAACAGCAGGCGGCGGCGGTGCGGGTGCTCCGGACCCAGTTCCATGGCGGCGCCTAGCTTTCCAGGGCTCCCGCTCCGTCTTCCTCCGCCTCCGCCGCGCCCGCCCCGACGGCACCGGCCTCAGACGCGTGCCACGCCGCCAGCGCCCGCGGGTCAAACACAAACACGACCCCGCGGTTCAGGGACCTGGCTGCCGCGGGCAAGCGGCGCGGACGGGCGGGTGTCGGGAACCCCCCCCCCCACCAGGCGCCAGGCACTTGCACGGGTGCTTCCCTCTCACCCCCGCGAGGCCAGAGGGCGAGCGGGCGGGCGCCTGCAACCTGAAGATTAAATCCAAACAAACTTGGCGGGCCGAGAAGGGGGAGCGGAAAGGAGCCTCCAGGCAACGGCCTGGGCTCACACTCCACACTTTTCTCTCTGTCCGTGCTTAGCTCGGAACCGCAAAGAAGCAAGCCCACCCTCACCTCCCTCCCCGAATGTCTCAGCCCAAGTGGCTTTCGCGGTAATAGCTGCTCACTAGGGACCGTCGCCGCCCCGCCCCCTTTCCTAGTTGGCGCCAAACAGAATTCGCCAATCAGTAAGCAACTTCTCTCTCGCTCTGGAGTGGCAGATAGGCTGGACCAATGAGAGTGGAAGAAGGAAGCAGCTCGCGGGCTTCAGCAAGCTCACGGAAGGGGGCGGGGCCTAGAGGAAACGGGAGGGGCTCGAAATGAGAGAGGGCTTAGAGGTCAATGAAACTCCCAGGAGAACCTGCGAGGCGCTGAACGAGGGAGAAAGGCCCCTCTTACCCCGTTGCATGCTGGGTAGCGTAGTTCCCACTGTGTGCACCTGTCCAGTTATCTTTCCTGGTTGAGCCACTGCTGCCTGGCGTTGCACACCCTTTCCTGCACCATATCCTGAGGGAACGTGGAGTTTAGAGAAGGCCGTATGTTTTCGTTTTTGTTTTTTTGGCAGGGTATTGCTATGTCTCAGTCCAGGCTGGCCTGGGACTTGATATCCTCCCACCTCCCCAGTGCTGGGATTACACAGGTGTGTATCAGCATGCTCAGCCGAGAAGGCCTTGGCTCTGCCTCTAACCTTGTAGTGGTATGGATTCCTCTTTTCCACTCCAGGCCTCCAGGCTGATTTTATGAGGTTCCCCTCAGGACTGGACTTCTGACCACCAGGGCTAACTGACCTTCTGCAGATTGTACTGATCACATGAGACCTGAGCCCTACAATATGACCTGTACAGCGGCACTCAACCATTCTTTACTCTTACTGTAAACTCTCAGAATCATTTCTTCTTTCCTACCCTTTCTTACCCCCACTGGGAGCTCCTTGAGTGCAGTACAAGTAAATAAAGTAATAGCTAACATATAGTGGCTATTCTCCAGACACTGTTTCAAGTGCACTTTCTGGCCAGGTGCTGGTGGCTCTCGTCTGTAATCCTAGCTACTTAGGAGGCAGAAATCAGGAGTTTTGTGGTTTGAAGCCAGCCCAGGCGAATAATAGTTCAAGAGACCCTATCTCGAAAAAAAAAAAAAAATCACAAAAAAGAGCTGGTGGAGTGGCTCAAGGTGAAGGCCCTGAATTCAAGCCCTAGCACTGCAAAACAAAACAAATCAAGTACACTTTTTGCATTAACTCATTTAATTCTTTACAACTCTCAGAAGAGCAGTTGTACCCATTTTATAGATGACTGTTTTTTTTTTTTTTACTCATTATGTAGATAAGAAAGACTGTATTTATTTTTATAGCCCTTGCACCAGTGGTGCCTCCTACAGTAAGACAGGTAAGTGGGCACAGGTGGCTCATGCTTGTGATCCTAGCTACTTAGAGGCAGAGATCACGAGGATCATGGTTTGAAGCCAGCCTGGGCAAATAGTTCTTGAGACCCTATCTCGAAAATACCTAACACAAATAGGGCTAGTTGAGTGGCTCAAGGTATAGGCCCTGAGTTCAAGTCCCAGTATCATAGCGACTAGGCTATAAAAGGAATTGTTTTTAGACCATTTTTGGGGCAAACATACTCTGCTCAAGATTGTATTTTAGGTGGCTTTAAATGCCTGGTGGAGATTATGATCACTAACTCTATTTAGGGCCTACCATTATATGTTTCTTTTAAAAACATTGCTTTCGGGTGTGGTGATATTATGCCTATAAATCTCAGCACTTCTTAGGATGCCGAGGCAGGATTGGGAGTTTGAGGCCAGCCTGGACTATGTATCGAGGCCCTGTGTCAAAACAGCAGCAAAAATACCTTTGTTTTCAAAAGTTTGTATTATACAAATAATATAAAATAAGTATAGCCTTAAGATTGTTGGGGGCTGGTGGATGGGTCACACCTGTAATCCTGGCTACTTGGGAGGTTGAGATCAGGAGGATAGTGATTTGAGGCCAGCCCCAGCAAAAAGTTTGATAGATCCCATCTCCAAAATAACCAGAGCACAATGAATTCAAAGTGTGACTCAAGCAGTAGAGTGCTTGCTTTGTAAGCTCCTGCTTTGCAAGCATTAAGCCCTCAGTTCAAACCCCAGTTCTACCAATAAGTAAATACAATATAGCCTTACAAAATGCAGATAGCATTGAGGAAGTGACCAGGAGAATGAATCTTTAAGAGATACAGCAAAGAGTGTTGGGTAGAGGGAATAAAGGCCCTGAGGATGGAAGTAGTCCCCTGTGTGTATCAGCCAACAGGTGGAGAGGAAGTTGGAAAAGCAGGCAGGGCAGGGCCCAGATTCTACAGAGCGTATAGGCCACATTTTGGAATTTGGACTAGGAAAAAATTCAGAGGTTTACATTGATATTTTAAAAAGATAACATTGGCTGCAGAGTGCAGAATGGATTAGATAACAAAGATAGACATGGGGAAAGCACTTGGAGGAGATTACAGTAGTTCTATTAAGAGATGGTGGTGATTTGAACTGAGAAGGGATGATGCAGAGGGAGAGAAGAAGGCCTTGGTTCCTTCCTGTGGGTGGTGTGAGAGGTGAATCACAGTTCTGCCTCTCAAACAGCCAGGAACCCCAGCAGGGCTCCTGGCTCCTCCCTAACAATCACTGAAGCTTAGCTTTTTAATCTGCTCTATCTTTTTGCAGTGCCTTGTATAGTATTCTCTTTGAAGAAGGGATTCTCTTTGCTAAAACAAAAAACCCCAAAAATCCAAACTCCCCCATTTATTTTCTCCATCAATTTATTAGACTTATTTTCTGTAGAAAAAGAAACATTCCTCTTCTAATTCAACATCTTTTATACATGCTCGTTCTCCTTTCATCCAACTCTGTGGTACAGGATTCATTTATTTTGCTTGGTTATGGGAAGCAACACAGCTTCCCTGGAGATTACTGGGTTTCAGTTTAGCACTAAGTGGAAGGTCAGAAGCACCAGAGCTTTCCATGATGAATGAGTAGTCCAAGAGGCTGAACAACTGCCCTAGATGTTCACAAGGTAAGGAGTAGAAAAAGCAGTTCTCAAATTCTAATTCTGTTACTGGACTTGTTACCAGAACTGGCGATGAGGCTGGCTGTTGGTTGGACATATCAAGGTGGAGACAAAGAAAATTTATTAGTAAAGCAAAGGAAAGATAGAAAGATACTAGACAGGCGGGTGCTGCTCAAGAGGCAGAGATCAGGAGGATCACGGTTCAAAGCCAGCCTGGACAAATAGTTCAAGAGACCCTATCTTGAAACACCCAACATGGGCTGGCAGAGTGGCTCAAGTGGTAGTGTTGTGGGAAATTATGAGCTGAGATAGGAGTCTCTAGGCAGATTAGCAGGAAGCCACGTTTATTGTGCCGGCACAGACCCAGCAGACTGGGTCTGAGCCCTGAGAACAAAGGGGTCTCACCTTATATAACCTTGCAAGCAGATTACAGAAGCAAAAAGCAAAGCTCAACCCACATATGGTTGCATGTAACTTCACTGGCTATTTTATTTTCCCAGTGCTATGTGACTTTCATGTTTCAGTTCTTTAAGTTTTATCTCTCTGCTTTACCATCCCCTCTTCCTGTCTCCTCGTAGAACACAGCCTGTTTCTTTTCTGGTCTTCCCTTTCTTGCTACATTATTCCCCTCTTTAATGCTCTGACCCACTCAGGGTCAAAGAGCATCATTTTGATCTAGGGGCTTGTATTTTCATAGCATCATTACATGTGCAGCTGTTTTTCTTTCTATAACGGCCTCCATAATAGTCTTGATAGACCGTAGCACCAGTGGAGCCAGACAGGGCAGTATTAAGCATGCTCCTTAGGCCTATCAGATTATTATTATATTTATATATTATTATTATTATTATCATCATATTAGCCCCTATCAGAGTTTTGAATCCACCTAAGGCAGAAAACCATCCTCCAAACAGGTCATTGGGATCCCATCCTCTCCAAGACTGGACGGGGACATGGGCAAACTTTCTCATTTTGTTTGTGATCTCTTTTATGACTTTTCCTTTATCCTCAATCTGTAAGCAGCAGTTGCTCAGTTAAATTTTCTATAAACTCCTCCTTCAGAGGCCAGCAAATAGTCTAAAGCCAAGCAGTTCTGATAGATGGCATTGTGCATCTTGGTGCTTTGTTTTGCCAGAAAATTGAGAGCTTTTGTAGTTTTGTTAGTTATAATTTTAACAACAGCCTACAGTCTGATGATGTGGTTGAGCATATATAGGGGTATGATAGCCCCAGACCTGTCTTCTGCCCAGGTGGCAGGACCATAGGTACTGGATAATTTGCTCAGGAAGCCATTTGTTATCTTTTTAATTGCCAATTTGTAAGCACCCTGTTTTTGTCTACTTAATCTTTTTTTATATATGGGGACTCCCAGTTTTTCACCTTGTCTGAGGAGAAGCAAGAAGAAAGGTGATCTGATTGAGCCTAGCATACAAGATTCAAACCAGCTGCTAGGTAGCATTGTATAAGCTTGCTTCCCACAGATCCAATACACTTCCCTGGGCACCTGCCAATCTATGTTTGCCGTAAGATTGTTTCATGCTCTCTGGAGATTAGAAGAGTTGGCCGGTGGGTGGGGCTAGGGTTCTGTGTGGTTTGGAGTTCCCCACCATTGGGTCTCTTGGGCAGTGTCATTGTAAAACTTCTGTGACAACATTTCCTGCCTGAGTAGGTCACAGGAGGAGGGCTCTGAGGCCATAAAGGGAAACCACATCAGTAACAATAAACAGTAATTATGCATCCTTCCCAAAAGAGATAGAAGAGAGCAAATAAAAACCTTTCACCGGGAGTCCAATCAGTGGGAACAGTTTCTGCCAGACCTATGGCAAAGATTATGGTGAAAATTACAGCAACAGATACAAACAAGGGGTGACAATGCATCACAGTGAGATAACTGGTGTAAAAACAGTCCGGTTGTCCCACTGGAGAGTCGATTCTTCAAGCTTCTGCCATGTATAGACTAGTCGGCTTCCAAGGTGTGATTAAAGCAGGGCTGTCATCCCGCCATTTCCTGTTGGTCCCCTGTTGTTTCCTGGGAAGTGGAGTCCTGCTGGGGGAGGGTACTCAGGTTCCGGAGGAT